AGGCCCTGGGGCACCTGGGAGTCTGGAGGGCGGGCGGTGCCCATGATCTCGGAGTTTTCCCGAGGCTGGAGGCCGTGTGTCCTGTCCCGTCTGCTAGGCCTGGTTTAGAGAGGACCCTGGCAGGAGGTGCAAGGTGACAGGCAGTGCCTGCAGGGTTGAAGCCTGTGTCCAGCTCGGCCGCTGCCCTGTGAGCACAGCCCCGAGCCCCACTCTCTTCCCGCTTGGATATCGGGACGCTCATCAGCCGTTAATTCTGACTCGCGGCCCCTCCAGCAGACGCGGTTTTCTCTCATCTCCAGAGAGGTGGTGAATATTATTAACCTGCTTTCTGGGGCGGGGAGGCCGTGGGCCAGCGGGGTGCCGAGGGCGGTGATGGAGCCCTGGCTGGTGTTCCCAGTGGTTAGAGCATCAACCGGAGGACTGAAGGGTCTCGGGTTCGATTCTGGTCAAGGGCACGTACCTGCAGGGGCAGGAGGGCTGGAGAGGCTGTGGTCTGCCTCCTTGAGTAGAGACCCAGCCTCTCCGTGCACAGGGACAGTGGGGAGCCCCCCACACCAAGAGCACCCAGTGCTCAGGCTCCTCCCCCAAGAAGGTGCCAGCTGGAGAAGAAAGGAACCGGGAGGCCGACTTGGGCCCATCCGCCTGCTTTAAACCCTGGGATCGGGCTGCCAGCAGGTTCCCACGGCAGCCGGTGGTGACACCCGCCGCCCCCAGCACCTCTGTGTTCTCCACGCCTCACTGACAGGCAGGGGAGGGGTGAGGGCCAGGGGTGGGTGGGCGAGCTCAAGGAGGCCCGGGCACACAGCTCCCAGGGCCTGGCTCGCAGAGGCAGGACCCACAGGGCCAGTTTGCGGGGAAGGAGAGAGGGTGTGGGGCTGTGTGTGAGCCAGTGTGGGCCTGCGTGTCCTGGCCCCCTGTGGCTCCGACCTGGCTGGCCTGCCTGGGACCTGGCAGCAGGGCATCCCCAGTGGCCCCAGCAGAAAGCAGTGCGAGGAAGAAGGGAATAGGAAAGTTGACCCTGAAAGATCTGGGAAGAGGTGTCAGAGACGAAGGGCAGGGAGTGGGGAACAAGGGGGGATGTGGAGGGGAAACAGGAGGGGTAGGCTCCCCTGGGACCCTCCTCGGGAGCAGCGGGTCTTGTGGCTGACACTGACCCCTGCCCCACCCTCCCCGGTCTTCACCAGGCCTCTCCCTCCCCCGGCGTCAGAGGTGTCTCTCAGATGACACGGGGCAGGTGGGCCTGGACTGGCTTCGTGTGACAGGTCCAGGTTGGCCTGGCCCTGCAGCAAGGGGAGCCTCCAGTGCACCTTCCACCACCTCCCCAAGTGTGCCCCAAGACACACCCTGACCCCATCCTGGGGTCTGCAGTCTGCAAGTCCAGAGACAATGGCCCCAGGTACCCATTCCATGCTCCTGAGGCTGGGATCCCTCCCTTAGGTGGCCACCCGGCCCCAGGTCCAGATGTGTACACGAGTGTGTGGGCACACGTGTGTGCGAGGCGCTGTGTGGGACCTGGGTGTGTGAGTGTGGGACCAAATGAGACCACAGCTCTGCCACCGGGAAGAGGGAATGCTATGGGGAAGCCAGAGAGAAGCCTCGGGGTCACAGTCACGGGGACCAGAGTCCCCAGCCCTGATCCCTCCTGGACAAAACACGGCAGAGGCCATGTTCTGGCAAGTAAGGGAGGCAGCAATGTGGCTCTCGGGCCAGCCTGGGGCTGCCGTGCTTCCAGGGAGGAGTCTGTTTCCGTAACAGTCTTGTCCGTGAGGAGGGACCCCGGCTGGGCACTGGGGCTCTGGGTGAAGCTGTGCTCAGGCCCAGCAGTGTTGAGCTCCTCGGGGTGGGTTCTGTTTGTAAACTAATTAATAAAGTTGTACTTTTGGGTGGCTTTTCTGTTTAACAATCCCCCAAATTCACAAACATACAGGGGAGGGGGGACGCAAGTGTACTTCAAAGAATAACTCTTGTTCTGATAAGTGTTACACTTTCATCGTAGAAAATTTAGAAGACATCCAAAGACACAGACATAACGGGATCGTCGGTGACGGGGGATCCTCCCTTCCAGCCTCTGCTGCCGAAATCCCTGCACACCTGCGCCTGCACCTGTGGTTTGAACCGCTGGGCTCCGGCTCTGCCGCCAACAGCCACGACCCAGAGAGGAGGTGACGGGGGGTGGGACCAGGGCTTGGACGGCAGTACCCAGGCCCCTACCCTGTCTGGGCTTTGGTTTCCACATCTGCAAATGACTGCTGGTGACACTGAAATCTAGGGTTTACGATCACGGGGGCTGTGGAGGAGGCAGGACCAGCCTCCCGGGTGGTCCTCGGAACCACAGGTGTAGAAACGACCGGCACCGACAGGTGCCCATTCAGTGTCACCGGACTCTGGCTGGTCAGAGGCTGTATTTAGCCCTGGCCTCTGAGGTCCCTTCTCCAGCCTCCCAGCAGGAGGTCTGCCAGCCCCCACAGGTCATCTCTAGTGACAAGGACTCACTCCTCTCCGGGCAGCCCGTTCTATTCTGGAACGGCTTGGACACACCTTCATGGGCACGGTTTCCTCCCAGGTTAAATGAGGTCCCTTCCGGCACTCGCCAGAGCCCAGAGAAAGCTCGCAGTGGTGTGAGCCAAAGGCCACTGTGAAGGGTTCTCTCTGGCCCTGGCAAAAGGCAGGACGGGAACTGGGCCTTGCACACCACATATCAGCTGACCGGCCAGGGAGATCGAGACGGCTTGGCCCCATCCTCCCGTAATCCTGCCACATCACTAACAAAAGTGCCAAGTCACTGGCCCATTCTACTGAAAGGGCCGGAGGTGGGGCAGCTTCAGGCAGAGCTCGATCCAGGTACTCAAACGGTGTGATTCGGGGTCTCTCTCTGTCCCCAGGCCCTGCTCTCCCCTGTGGTCACTTCCCCTCCTGGCAGGGTTTTCCCCGGGGCGACAGCGATTGCGACTGGTACTCCTCAGCTCGTATTTCACTGGCCACTGTCCTAGGGACTCTGTAAAATCCTGGGCCAGCTCACTGGCCCGACTCAGATCACATGCCCATCGCTGGGGCCAGGAGTTCCGCGTGCTCCCGCCTGGCTGAGCCTGTGCCCATGCCCAGGCCTGTGGCCCTGGGGTGAGTGGGGGTGGAGGATGGCAGCCCCAGAGGACCACAGGGCCCACACTCAGAGCAGGTGCCCACCACCCTTCCTGTCTATGTACTGTGGCCCTTTGGAAGATGACCAGCCACTGTAATAGCCAAGGATTTTCACCCCCAAGAAAAATTTGGGTCCTTTTGGGAACAGCATCACCCCCACTGGGAATGCATGGGCTAAATGAGAATCCAGACACTGACGGGGCTGAGGCTCAGGACCCACAGGTGAGGAGTAGAAGAGGCAGCTGGGCCTGGGCTCACACAGGCAGTCAGCTCGGCCGCCCAGGGGAGGGAAGGACGGAAGCAAGGCTGGGGGCATGCGGGGTCGCCCCGCTCGGGGCGGCTGTGCAGACGGGGGAGCTGGGCCCTGCGGACTTCCAGTCCCATGGGGGCCGCAGAGCACAGGCTCCTACGACTGTCCAGCTGGGCCCTGCCCAGGCCAAGGTGCTGTCTTTGCGCCCACAGTGCCCTCTGCTGGGAGGAGGGGGCGGTGCAGGGGCCCCGCTGCCCAGGGAAAGCACTGAGCCCTGACGAGCTGGAACTTTGCAGTAGCCACAGTAACAGAAATAAAAATAAGCAGGTAAAGTCCCATAAGACACCAGCATTTGTCGTCAGTGTGAAAGTTATGAGCAAGCGCTCTCGCATTCTGCCTCCCCCTTGTCTGTGAGCTCGTGCGTATCATGAATCCAGGGCATGTCTCCCTCGACCAGCCACACTCGGGCCCACAGCCACCTGCCCCGTGGCTCCCGTGGGGCAGCGTGGCTCTGAGAGTGGCCAGCAGCAGAGAGGGCCCCTCGGCGGTCGCGCACACACAGGTGCCACGCGACCGTGGACCCGGAGGAGCACGGACCAAAGTCACCGCCTGGCTGCGGGCAGCAGCCTGGGACGGCCGGAGCCTTTGCCATTTTCCCTCCAGGTGATGCACCTACTCAATTCCGTTCTGAGGCTCAGCCCCAGTATCAAAAGCTGCTCTGGGTCACCTCTGTCAGCCGCGGGAGGGCAGCCAGGCTGTCTTGGAAGATGAAACCCACTTGGAAAGAATAACCGCCTTTGTTTTGGTCAACAAAACAACAGAAGCCTGGCCACCGCAGGATCCGGGGAGGAAGGCTGCAGGGGGCCGGCCACGCGGGGTGCTCACCTGAACTTCCCGGTGCGCACCTGCAGCGCTCTCATTCCGCACCGCTGGGCCCCGCCAACGTCGCCCACGATGTCGTCCCCGATCATGATGGCCTGTCATGCAGGGAAACGCACAGAGAAGGCCCGTCAGCAGGTCCCGGTCCTGTGCCGAGATCCGCTGCCTCCTGCACGCCCCTCCCTGGGGATCGAGCCCGCAACCCGAGCATGTGCCCTGACAGGGAATCGAACCGCCATCTCCTGGATCCTAGGTCGACGCTCAATCCTAGCTCCTGAGCCCCTTCCTCTTCCTTGACATAATAAACTGCTCGGTTTGGTGTTTAAAGTCATCGTCTTGCACGGGGTAGCAATCACCCTGTTGACTAGAAGCCGGGGGGCTGACACTGCCCTGCCTCCCCGTGGACATGGGCTGAGCTGTACCTGTGACTAAACACTCTGTAGCCAGGTCGTCCTGCCCATCCTGGCTCTGTGGGAACAGGAGAACCTCTGGCAAATCTTTGAAGGTCACAGTTTAAAAGGTTTTTGCTTTCAATAGTGAAGGTGCTACCTATAAAAACAGGCGTGCACACACACACACACACACACACACACACACACACACACACACAGGAACGCCCTCAGCCTGGGCATCATGCTGCTCGTGGCCACAGCCCACCGCAAGGCGCACGAGAGCTGAAATAAACCGCGCGCCTCCCAGTGACTGTTCTAAACGTCAGACGTTTTGCTGTCTTTTTCCTGACCTTCCCTCCACATAATCCCATGTTTTCACAGCGAGTTGTGCACACTGGTAACATAGTATTTAATCTTACGCAGGACGAGGACTGATACATTTTTACCGTAATCATTTTGTATTTATTTTGAGAATTTTCTCTTTAAGTGAGTGATTCTGGTTTTTCACTTACAGTAGTGATCAAAAGTTCCTTTCAAAATACATTTATTTAAGTTCAAAAATGAATCAATGTAAAGAAACTTTAAGTAAACAGTAGTGCCAGTGGCTAATACCCAGATATGGTAAAAGTCAGATTTTTTTTTTTCTAGAATGACTGATGTTGGAGAAAATGGTGCCAACCCAACTAGGCCTAATTTTTGTGTCCACGCTCCCAGCAGCCGTGTGGAAGTCGTCAGTCACCGGAGAAGAAACTGGCAACGTGTGTTCCCTGAAGTGGGGCCGCAGCAGAGCCACGGGAGGCGCAGGTGATTCTCAGGCGCCCGCAGCGCCCGGGTCGCCGGGGCAACCGCGCGGCTCACCTGGGNCCGGCCCAGGCGCTGGGCGGGCTAAGCCCCAGCGGAAGGCTCTGCTCTGCCCCCTCGGGGAGCTGCCCTGAGACCGTGAGGTGGGCCGCTGGGCGGTGTCAGCGATCCAACCGGGGGCCCTGGCCCCTGCTCTCCAAGGCTCCCGGGCACTTTGCTAGAAGGTTCCTTCGGAAGCGAGTCTTCCAGTTATTACACGGCATGCCTGCCCCTTCCCTGCTTCTGGGGACAGTAACATTCTGTGTTTGCTCACTTGTGCTCATGCACACACCCCGGGGCAACAGAAATCCTGCCCCTGAGGACGGACTCCGGGCCCCCTGGGCGAGGACGTCTGTGGATGTGGCCCATGCAGTGGCGCCGGGGAGATCTGGGCCCTGGAGGAGCAGCAGCTGTGATTCTGCCGATGAGCCACTGCCCAAGCCCAGGCCGAGCCCCGCGCCCGCCGGGTGAGGTTGGAGGAGAGCAGGTGCAGGGGCTTCGGGTGCGGTGTGTGTGTGTGTGGGGGGGGA